GGAATTTATTATAAGTCAATTTTTTTTAATACCATAGATATATGTATATAATTTGTCTTAAACCTAGACTGACATACCGTCTTCGCTCAGAATCGTTTTTCTTATACAATGATATTGTATCATTGAATTCAAATTTAAAAGCATCCATTATACAGTGACCCACTTGTAACCTACTGTACAGCAGAGCGACATCCACTTACCCACCTTTTTTTTTTTAAGATTAATTTTTCCACAGAAATTAATAGATTTACGAGACATTTTGTCGGTACGTTTTTTATAGAGAGTACCTGAATCTACAATTTAGGTCCTATACAATTTTATGCTAAATGCAATATATAATGAATTAAATCAGAATAACCCTAAAACTACCCTATTTGATGAATAATCAACCCTCTTGCGGCACCTGAAGGGGATTATTAATCATCCCCAAATCTTACCCACATAACTTTTGTATGGTTATGAAAAAATTGGGAGGGTGAGAAATCAAAAATATTTTACTTTCCTTACCCCCTACTATGTAAGGGCCACCCTAAGCCACACACATATGTGAAATTCCCAATATATTCTGAGTATTACCATAGTGTACTTATAGTTAATTTATTAACTGCCAATTTCATTATAATAAATCATTCTACTTTTTTATATTGAATATCCGTCATATAACGGTATTGCATATATTAGATCCGCCTATTTTACACGATTCTAGAATCGTCTTAATCTGCTGTGGTATTATTTTGAATATCATTTCCCACTGAGCCAATAATGATTAATTGTAAATTTGTTTATCCTTTAGTTGTGGTTACTATATCGCCCATAGGCTGATTGATCATTTTGTATTAGAACACAATCGAAGGTTGACCAGTTAATATCTATTTCCATTAGACGTATCTGATTATTATCTACCAACAGTAAACTATACTAAATATGGTACCTGTTGGGGGTGAATTTTAATGTTACGTAGGAACTTGGGTTACTACAATGAACTACTAAAAGACTATTCGTTTACAGGCAAAAAGGAAAAAAAGGAACTTTCAACATTGGCAATATGCTGTTATTTTTGGTAAGAAGGTTTAAAAGTATATATTTACAAACTTTCTAATGTTATATTATATTGTTACCAATTGTATACATCTTGGATTTTTTTCCATTATAACCACAATCAATCTTCTTACTAATGAATTATTTATTCCAAACTAGCGCTGTTCGGTCAGACCGATTTTTTTATTAACCGGTTAACCGAACCGGTTTTGACCAGTTTGACCATTACTGCCTTAATTCGGTCATTTCGGTTAAATCAGTCTCAACGGTCTAATCAGTCAAAACGGTTAAACCGGTCAATTTAGTTAAATTGACCAAAACTGTTTAATCGCTCTTGACCGAATTTAGTATAAGTCAACACGGTTAAATTGGTCAACAAAGTTAAAACTAATTTGTTCATGTCAAAAACTGTAATGTACTTTTTTCTTTTATATGTATATTATCAGGCTCGGATACAAGGGGGGTGCGGTCAATTGGGCTAATCCCCCCTTAGGCTCTTTAAATATTTTACTCTTTCCTACGTAATTATATAATATTATAGGTACCTAATATAGTAATATGCAATACAGTTTAATTTCGTTATCAAAGTTTGTTATTTTTATTATTTTATAATATACATGTATGATGAATATTGTATTCACTATAAAAACTGAAACTTAATGCCTATACTTATATGTACTAGAGTGTATTCGACTAGCCCTTCCCTTTATTAATTTCTAGATTCACGCATGTATAGTATATATATTTATATATTTATAAGTATCTAATTTAAAATTCTATGTGTTTGTAGTGTTTGTACTTTGTATAAGTTAATATAGGTACTATGTAAGAAATATATGAAACTATCAAGCATCAACTATTAAGAACTTAAAGATATGTATTATATTAGTTCTATAAGACTTGTGTATAAAATATAATAATAGGTATTATATTCTAAAAGTTTCAAGTAACCACTAACCACAAATAATATTTTTAAATTACAACAAAATAACTAAAATCGTTATTCTTGGTTTTAATATGGAATTTCGTCCAAATTTTAACTTACAATATCTGTATAATATTTATATAGACGCTAGGTACCTACCTATACAATATATTTCTATTTTCTACATCTAAAGTTTAAACTGTACATCCCAAATACAATCACTATTTACGTGGCTTCTTTTAAAGTTGTATAGGTAGTTTTAAAGTTTAAACAACATTTAATAAACGAATGGTAGCAAATGAAAATGGAAAAATTATGTTGGGATACAAATTTAAATATGACGTGTTGTATGTTATGAACTAGCGACTAGCAGGGCGATAGTTCGATGGTCAAAAGCTCGAAAGTCGAAATAAGTAGGTACATTAGTACATTAAAAACAATTAGGTAATACCTAATTTAAGTTTCGTTATAATTATTATTTTTACAATGAATATTGTACAGGTAGTTAATGTATATTTTTAATACATTTTTTTAGGCAGGTAGGTACTAGGTAATAGGTAGTAGGTACCTAAGTCGATACCTAAAAATTTTTTTATTTATAGATAGTGTATCGTGTATGCGTCATGTAAATAGCAAATATGCGATTGCAAGAACTATTTATGATGTAAAACAATTATAATTTAATTTCAACACACAGAATAAAAATAGAAAAGTAACCAGATAAATACAAAAATAAATAAGAATTGAGATGAAAATAAAAACTCACTATTTTTAAAGACTACACTGATAACAATATTCAATAAATCTATTTTAGGTTAGTTCTTTTACCCGTAGTCTCGTATAGTTGACAATTGTAGGGGTACTCTTGGTCTTTGTGAGTGTTGTGACCACTGACCATTGAAATTGTGTACTGTGTAATTCTGTAAGTACTACCATACCTACAAGTTACAACTGTTAAGTGCCAAATTAAGTGAACCTTACTTAGGTACTTTAAATATTATATAACTATTAAGTGATATTAATAAGTCATTATGAGTCAAGTGTGGAAAATATTTGAGGAAATACCAGCTGAAGAAGTGGCTGTCTGTACAATTTGCCAACGACGATATTATTATCGTACTGGTTGTAGACATCTACACTATGGTTGCATGCAGAATTGGTACATGGATGTTTAAGACATAGTAACAAAAGGTATAACACTATGATAGATTCTTCAGTTTCAAAATCAGAAAATAAATGTGCTTAAATGTGGTTATTAATTTATTGGGTACCTAGGTAGGTAACCATTTACATGTTGACATAATATTATAATGAGTAGGTAGGTAGTATGGAATATGGATTATGGACTACTATAAATTTGATAATAGCATCTATAACTTTTTAATATTTTATTGTATTTCTCATTACTTTAAATAAAAATAAACATTACAATTTTAAACCCTTACAAACAATAAAAATTAAAAACATTACAAAATACAAACACTTAAATATGAATAAAATCCTAATTACTTTTTATTACAAAATAAATAATTTGTCCAATGTAAATTACAAATATTTGTTGCATTAAATAATAGGTAGGTACCTATAACTTTAACAACAAATAATAGTAAGTATGCATTCTAAACATATATGAACACTTCAAGGGTACCTAACTTAGAATTCAGAATCGACATAGTTATCCCTTCTCTCTTAGACTAATGAAATTTATATTACTTTATTTGCATATTAAACGCATATATTTTTTTTTTTACAAATTTATAGTTCAACAAAACAAATAATAGATTTATGACAGTTAAAATTCTAAATTTTATAATATGTTTGACAAAATAAATTAATATATCAGAGGCTATTTTTGTATTTTTCCCATTAATATTATCAACTCACTCTAAGTCTATCACAACTAGGTAGTAGGTAGTCGGCATCATAAATAATAATTACAATTTAATAATTTAACAATAAATAAATTATTAAATTATTATTATGTAATGCACTTACATACCTAGATGGCGTTAAGATCGACGTTGTACCAACTAGCGTTGTACCAGTGGTACGACACTCCGTGAATTGGTCGGATCGGGAGATTGTGGCCTTGAAAATGGTCTCTAAAGGGGCGTGGCATACGTTACAGTAAACAGTGGAAACAATTTTTCTATGCTGGAAACAATTTTTCTATGCTGGAAACAACCCGACCCGCGCAGAATACCCTGCCTATTAATCGGAGACGGTTTTTCAATACGGGTATAACATCATGTTGGTAAACGGAAACAGTTTGAATGTTCGGACTTCAGATCATAGGTAAACACTTCACCCATCAGCTGATCGAGTGTCGCTTCTATATTGTTCTATGGTTGTACATTAGTTCTATTGATAACGCCGTCGTTTCCAGTCCTGTATATCTTAGTCCGTGGCTAAGGCCTTCTACACACCAGGCAACTCCCAGGCGACGCGACGGATACTCGAGGATCGTCCGTTTGAGTTGCTTGTTAGTAAGATATCCATAAGCAACCCATCGCCACACACTGAGCTACTATGAAACTACTGTGAAGCGACGATATCTTTTCAGTCTACCTCTAGCCACCAATTGTTTACCAATCTGTTGCTAAGTTTTCAATATGTCGTTAAATGAAGAATCATCAAGTGATGATGTAGTTGTCGCCTATTATTATAACTATTATAGACAGAGGAAAATCAAAAGAATGTGGTGCCACCCTAATATTGAAAAGAACATTCACTGCCGCTTATTTGTTGCTGCTAAAGAGCTAGAATAGTCTGATTCTAAGCTTATAGCATTCTACCGCATGACAAAAGAATCATACCAACTCTTGATCGACATTGTTTCTCCATCTATACGTCAGAGGGATACAGTTATGCGGGAATATGTAAGTGCTGAAGAAAGGATTTTGATTACTTTGAGGTAAGTAGCTTTATTTATAATTTTAGCATTATATTTTAAAAAGCAAATTTAGCATGTTTAATATTAATAACAAAAATTTAACATTGCATACAATAAAAACGTTACGTTGGTTTCATCTCTATTTCATTCTCTCTCTTCTTCTATAGCCATAGATACCAACTGAGGGTAACTAACAACTGGATAACTATTAGATTCGCTTGTGGAATTACTCCTGTCTTCGATGTTTGTAGGCGTTTCCATTTGATGAAGCGTGATAGGAGACATAGGAGAAAATGAAGAGTTTGAAAAATCGTATGACAAAATACTCGTTGTTTGAGGTGTCGCGGTCGGTTGAGTAATTTCATCCATGAGTTGAAAAATCCTACGCCTGAATGTTTTGAGTTGTTGGTCGGTTAATGGCTCCAATTATGGTACCAAACTGTCAAGAAACGATTTTATCGATTCAGTTTTTGGATTATCTCTCCCTCTTTGTTTACTCAATCTGGCCGTTTTTGCCAGGAGAAAATCCATGAACTTTGCATCAACATCAATGGTTGAAATTCCACGTTTAAAACCCGATTTCTTTTTAGTCATATCAGAGGTCTTTGAAGGTCTACTTAGTGATTGAGAACAAACAAAGTGATTTTTCAATTCAAGTGATTTTGGTAATTTATCTTAAATAATAAATAAATGTAATGTACTATTAAAATATTGATAATAAAAAAGTACAACATATATATTATTATCATAAAATAATAAATATATTATAATATAATAGTACTGATAATATTTAAAGCTGATGAATTTTAGATAGGATTCACAGAATAGACTAAAATAATCTTTTATGTATGGCCAATACTTGCTCAGTACCTATTCTGTACTTAATTTAATAACATATACATACAAATAAAGTATAATATATCTTAGATTAAGTTGTTTAGTATAAAATATATTATACACATTCAAGAAACAAAATTAGATACAAGATGTGTATAACAAGTCTAAAGTTTATTATATATTTCATTATTACATACAGTAACATAGGGATTATTTATAGGCTTATAATAGTTGCCAATAGATGGCAGAGCGGTCGCAGTTGCACAGGCGTCAGAAAGGAACCGTTGTACATTTGGCCCAGACCCCGCACTCCGCCAGCTCATACGTTTCAAGTCCTAAAAAAGAAATTAACAATCATTCGACTAATTTTGTCAAATGCGATATAGCAGTAGACATAATGTCGAACGTTTTTCGTTCGAGAAAAGTCATACATCATTTCGAGAATACCATCGACGACGAATCGATCGAGTTCTGATTCATGTCGAATGCGACAAAATTCGAGAATAGGGCCCCTGTATATCTTAGTCCGTGGCCTTAGCCGAACTCGTTATCAAACAATCCTCAAATATAAGCCGTATACAGAGCGACTCAAGTGATATATTTGGAAATGCAGAATCTCACATGGATTTAGAACAAAATGACGATTCTTAATTTCAAGTTAAAACCGCAAAAAAAATGAAAAATCATCCAAGTTAAAACGTGCGTTACTTCTTTCAAGTTCCACCTCACCGAAAACTTTTAACATTCAAAACTATACATTCAATATCAAGAAAAACTTAGTTTTTACATGCTATCATTAAACTAGGAGATCTATACACTCCTAATATTTTATATGTATTTGATTTATAATAAGAATGCATTTCTAACTACTAGGTATTATATTTGTACAACTGTTTAATTTGAAAATTATAAGGAAAGAAACATTTTATAACCATCAATATTTATATTAAAATCAGTATCAAACTAGGCTTCTACTAGAATAATTAAATGAAAACAATGTGAAACAGTAATAATATAATATAGAATAATATCATCAAAATGAGGCTTAAATTATGCATTGTTTAATGCTACTAATATTACAATAAAAAATTAATATATAAACAAGTATTATAAAAAATAATGTCAGATAAATGGTCTATGGTACATATATTAATATTATTAGAAGAAAAAAAAATCGTACCCAGTGCCTAGATAAGATGATAAATATGCATAATAGGACACTATGTAAAGAGACTAAGATGGCTCTGAATAACCTGAAAAACAAACTGAAAACTTTTTAAATTTGTAGATGAATATTATTACAGAAAAAGGTTCATAAGTTTGCTTGAATTATTTTCATTAACATTTCCACTATTGGACTTATATTTTTATAAAATGTTCTCTCAACTATATAAATTAATTAAAATATGGTTTTAATTTAAGGATAAATTAATTGACGGAAATAAAACTTTCAAATTGTCAATACCCTTAAAACAACATTTAAGCATAAAATACTTTTAAACTGTACATTGTATAAAAATACTAAATACAGTCAGTTATAATTATCAAATCACAAATAATTAGGTATAATTATTAAATAACTTTATTCCCCGTAAGTTGACCCACTCGCTTGACGAAAACCGGTCATGGCCGCTCATGCCGCCGCGTCTTCGGAGCGCTAGTGGTAATCGTCGCCAATAGCAGCTGCCTATACACGATGAGCACTGCCGATCGCCGACCATCACCGATCCGCCACAGACCTTCCGGTCTCCGAATAATCTTCATTAAAATCATCCATGAACAAATTATAATAGGTATGTTGAAACTTCCTTTCAACCTAATTGATGCTTGTTTAAATTCAATAATGTGACCGACTTATGATTAGCAACTGGTATGAATAGTTAAATGAAATTTTACGAATAAACTCCAATATTTTTGGGTGAGGCCTTATGGTTTTCTATAATACGGAATGGTAGCTTTCTAAGTAATTATTTGTCATAATACCTTGATTACAAACAGTAAAACATTCAGAAGTTGTGTAATGAAGCCAAAATGGAATTGTATACTCATAAATAAATCGGTGGTAATACGGTGTTGTCTTCGAAAAAAATTAACAATTGTATTAATTTTATAAACATAAAAATTAAAAAGTTGATGTCGCTCTGCTGTACAGATTAAAAGTGTATCACTGTAATGGATGGTGTTAAATTTGAATTCAATTACAGTAGAAACCGTTTATAATGACCATCAAGGGACCAAAGAAAATAGGTCATAATAACCGGTTGTCATTATAACCAAAATGACGAAAAAAAAATTGTAACTTCAATAAATATTATTATTATTATTATGTATTTATTTATGCAATGTATAATATAGAAAAAAGTAATAAAGTAAGTAATAAAATAAGTAAAAAACATTTAATTATGTACACACATATGTATTTAAATTAATTAGTTCAATTATTATTTAAAGAAATCTGTTATTTTAGATTGAACTTTGTTAGTATAGAAATCACGCTCTATTTTTTTTTCTAGTTCTTCAAAATTTATCTTTGGACTTACGTTATTCAGAGCCATATAATTTGCTAACATCTTTGCTGCATTGAACACTGCATTAATAGATAAATCTCCATCGGGAGTATCAGCTTCTTCACTATTATCGTCTTCCTCAGGTTCTTCGGGTTGGTTAATCAATGAAGAAATAATTTCTTGATCACTTAATGGTTCTGAAGTTAGCACATCATTATCAAAGTTAACATATTCATTTATGTTTGGGAAACTTATGTCTTCTTCTTGTTCTCCTTGGACAGTTTCTTGTGGTATTGCATTATTGAAACCAGCGTGACGAAAACAATTTCGTATTGTAATCTCTGATACTTTTCCCCAAGCTTTAAAAATCATTAATATACCATCTAATACGCTGATATTCGCTTCAATTTTGTTTTCAATATTATTGATCATATTTAGCACCAAACTTTTTCGAAAATAAGTTTTCATACATTTTATTACGCCTTGATCCATTGGTTGAAGAACAGACGTACAATTACTGGGTAAAAATACAAGTTTAATATTGCGTAATGCTACAGTGCAATGTGCTGGACAGTTGTCAACTAAGAGCAACATTTTTTCTTTTTTTCTTCCTAACTCTAAATCCCAACTTAATAAAATTTTAGACCATAATTCTGCGGTCATCCAAGCTTTGGAGTTAGATTCATATGTTACCGGTAGACAGTCACTATTGATGTTTTTGAAACATCGTGGATTACGGGATTTTCCAATTATGATCAGTTTCATTTTTTTACCAGTCATACTTGCTGAAACTAAGACAGTTAGACGTTCTTTGGACATTTTACCACCTGAACATTTTTCTCCTTTAAATTTTAATGTTCTGTTAGGAAGCATTCTGTAAAAAAGTCCAGTCCCATCTGCATTATAAATTTGGTCATCTGTGTATCCTTCTCGTAATTTAGGCCATACTTTTTCGAGCCAATTTTGTGTTATTTCAGTATTGACCGAATTTGATTCTCCGTTTATTGTTGAAAACACAATATTATGCCTCGCTCTAAATCTTTGAATCCAACCAGTGGAACAATTAAAATTATGCTTACCAAGGCCTTCAGCTAATTCATTGGCTTTCTGTTGAAGAATTGGTCCATTAATTGGAATGCATAGATTTCTTTGATTTTTAAACCATCGTAATAAAACATTATCTAAATCTGTATGTGTACAATTTCTGAGTTTCTTAACTGATAATTTTTCATTTTGAAACTCTTGTTCGATTTTGTCTCGAGCTTTCCATATGTTGGAAATTGTAGAGTGACCCACGCCTAATTCATTAGCTATGTCGGAATTTTTTTCACCTTTTTTTAAACGAAAAATGACATTTGCCTTTTCTTCGATGGTGAATTGCTTTCGTTTGCTCATTTTACAATTTCACAATACAATTTAACACACGAACACTAAACACATTTAATCGCACGAAAATTACCCGTACACTGACGATAAAATAAAACTGACGACTGAACAACGATGAAATTATCGGTATTATCGGTATTGTAATAGTACCTTCGATTAAGTAAAGTCATTATAGATAAAATATGTTTTCAATATAACAAAAAATAACCGTCATAACATCCGTATAGTCACTATACAGGTGTCATTATAATCGATACAAATTAGTACATACAATATAGGAGTTTTGCCGGGACTTGCAATCTAAGGTCATTACACCCAGTATGTCATTACAACCGGTGTCATTATAAACGGTTTCTACTGTATATAATATTATTGTATAAGAAAAACGATTCTGAGCGAAAACGGTCAGTCGGCCTATACTATGACTAAGGATATTTGATGATATTACTGTGAATAAAGTAATTTATACATTTACCTATTTACGTGAAACCTTGTTTTAAATTTTCAATCTTCAGCTATAAAAGTTTAACATTTTTAACTACAAAATAATTATTAAATTTTAAACTTGATAAATGTTGTCAAAATTCGAACTTTAAATGCTTATAAAAAAAAATTGTGCCTATGCATTTTTAATATTTTTCAACCACTACTCTAACAATATAGTAGGAGCCTTGTATTCAATTATTTACCTTTGGTACTATTGATGTGCAAACGACAAACTCCAGACTTGGCATGACTTGGTAAATAAATAGGTATTTAACTAATTTTCTATTGTCTTAGTCCTTGCAGTTTTTTCTTCATTTTCTTCAAATGTAACTTACTACGGTACATTAATAAAACCAATGTGTTTTTTCTATCCTACTAAACACCCGTATTAACCAATATTAGGCCGAATAATAACGGTTTAAAACCTATGTATTGGACATTTATCTGTTATTTATTATCTGGACACATAATTTTATTAAAAAAAAAATAATAACATTTTTGTTGTATAAACCATATTTATGGGACTTGTATTAGCTTCGTCTGCTTCGTCAGCTTTGTCTGGTTGTAAATCATGTTTTCAAAATCAAGCAGGGGCGTATTTAGGCCGGGGCCCCTTAGGTGTGTCGAAGTCGGGGGCCACAAGTCAATATTACATAAAAAAAATACTGAACATTTTTTTTAAAAATTATATTTACGTAGAAAAAAATTTGATCTAAAATACGAAACGAAAAAATATGTACGCGGAGGTAACGTTCATTATCTTGATATCTTGTATATTAATATTAGTATATTACTATCTAATAATAAACGTCACTTTTTTTTCAAACGGACGGTTAGAATAGATAAGCTATTCTAAGAATATTGTTTCTAAAGCAGCCACCATCATGTAGGCTTCGCAGTTTGTTTAATCTATTATGATTTGTATTTTGTACGACACGTTCGTTGTCGCCTGTCGGGTTGTCTACTACATACAAATTATATTAAGTTATTATTTATTTATTATTATTTTTTATTAATAATGTCTAAACGTGTATATTTGAGTGGAAGTTTAAAAAGAAAATTAAAAAACAGCGCATTGAAAAAGAAAAACTACTCCCGCGAATAAATGATTTTTTGAATAGAGATGATCTTGGAAATAATTCATGTATAAGTACGACTGTGAAATCTACGCCTGCTGAAACAACTGATATTGTAAGTAGTTTATTGTTGCCATTCTATAATAGTTTAATAAAAAATTCAATTTTTTATTTTGATAAATTTTGAAGGGAATTTGACAAACAAAAATATGTGGTTTATTATGAACTATTTTAATATTATATAAAGTCCTAAACTAATTGAGAAAGAAAATAAATTTAGTTTTAAAATAATTTACTTATTACTCTATTCTATTTTTAATTATTTATAAAACTGTTATTCTTATAGCACCACTAGTATCGAATGTAACAAACAAAATATATAGTTATAATTATTAAATTTTTGTGACCGAATTTGTGTATATTTAGATATTAATATATTACATTATTACAATGATGTTTTTTTTAAAATATATATTAATACGTTGGATCTTAAATGTCCATGCACATTTATTTTAAAATATATTATTATTCATCAATTTTTTTTTTCACTGATAGGCACAATCATTAATTCCATCTACGATTTCGACTACTCAAATTTCTAATATTAATGCAAATTTCGAAAAAACAACTACTGTAGATTGTCTGAATGATGAAACTGAATGTTCAATAAACCCAGATTTATCAGAAGCGACACAGTCAATGACCATAGGAGATTTTCCAAACGACAAAGCTTTTTTTTACAAATACATTGAATACATCGGATAAAATTTTTATTATTTCTAAGGGGCCGTGTCAACCAGATGGTCCATTTCCGAAAAAAATGATTGGTAACAAATATCGTTCATTTTCTACAGTACATTATAATGAAAAAAGTCAAGGGGGTGTAACGTTTCATCGTAAATGGATTTGTTACTAAAAATCACTTGATTTAGTTTATTGTCAACCATGTTGGTTATTTTGTACATCGAGTTCATGGGCTAATGGTATGAATGATTGGAAACATATTTCGGAGAAAATTAAATTGCACGAAAAGAGTTTATCCCATATAAACGCTTGTCTTACAGTAGACCGATGAGAAAAAAATAATACTTTATCTTAAGAATTAAAATCTCAAATTAGCGTAGAAGTTGGATTTTGGAGGCAAGTCATAAAACGTATTATAAATGTTACTATGACGCTAGGATTTCAAAATCTATCATTTCGAGGCCACAATGAAAAAATTGACAGTGAAAACCGTGGTAACTTCTTAGCAGTCATCGATCTTCTTGTGATTTATGTCCCTATATTATCGGAACTTTTACAACGCGGACCTAAGAAAATCAATTATTTAAGTGCCACTATACAAAATGAAATAATTGATATGATTGCTAAATGTGTAAAAAAATCTATAATTTCTGATGTACAAAAAGTTCCGTTTTTTTCGTACATAACTGATACCACACAAGACATTAGAAAACATTATCAAATGAGTCAAATAATTCGTTATGTAGTCATTGAAAAAAACGAAGACAATAAACCGATCAAACTTAGGATAGAAGAATCATTTCTCGGATTCTGTTTATTAAATGATCATTCAGCATCCGGATTTGCCGATCAGATTGTAGAAAATATAAAAAATGATGGATTAGATATTAGTAATTTACGCGGACAAAGTTATGACGGAGCAGCTGTTATGGCGGGAATTTATAACGGTGTCCAAACAAAAATAAAAGCTCATTCGTCTCTTGCAGAGTATATTCACTGTAACGCCTATAATTTGAACTTAGTTTTAAATGATACTATGACTGCCTCAATTGAAATTGAAATTTTTTTTTCCATTATACAAAAACTATATGTTTATTTTACGTTAAGTGGAAAACGCTGGAAAATTTTAACTGACATTTTACCAGTTGGTGGAGTAACACTTAAAAAAGTTTGCTCTACCAGGTGGTCATCATGCCATCAAGCTATTTCTCCTATTCGATTTAATTTTCTAAATGTTTTAAAAGCTTTAACAAAAATAATATTATTGTCTAAAAATAAAAATGAAATTTCAGAAGCTAAACAACTTGTAAAAAGTCTTGAAAGTTTCAGCTTTGTATTAACGTTGGTATTTGTAAGTGATATACTAAGAAAAGTAGATGGTGTCTCACAATTGTTACAACAGAGAGATATTGATCTTCACAAAGCTACAGGACTACTACAAACATTAACAAGTAGTTTGAAAATTATAAGAGGAAATTTTTCGGAATTTTTCACAGAAGCTACAAATCTTTCGAAAACATGGGGCATAACACCAACATTTAAAAACCAAAGGTATACCAAAAAAAAAATGTTTTTTGATGAGCTTTGTGAAGACCAAAGATTAAAATCACCTGGAAAAAATTTGAAGTGAACATTTTTAATATAACACTTGATCGTAGTATCAATGAAATGGAACGTAGATTTCAAAGTTTTAATTACGTTTCTCACTTTTTTAAATGCTTACAACCTATTTCATTATCAGAACTAAACGACGAGGAACTACACAAGGAAGCAGAAATACTACAAAAAAAGTATAACCACGATATTTCTCCATACTTTGTTCATCAGATTCTATCTTTTCGATCATGTTTTAAGGATATAATATTGAAAAATTCAAAAACAACAAAAGAAATTGCAGAAATGTTATTAATTGAACATTCTCCTCTTACAACAACATATCCTGATGTATGCACTGCTTTTATTTTGTATTTGACGTTACCCATTACAGTTGCAGCAGCAGAGCGATCGTTCTCAAAACTAAAAATAATAAAAAATTATTTACGGAGTACGATGGCAGAGGAACGACTGAGTGGTTTGGCAAATAATTCCATTGAGAATAGGCGGGCACGGCAATTGAATTTAGAAGATGTAATTGACAAGTTTGCTCAAATGAAGGCTCGAAAAGTTAATTTTTAAGTATAATACTAAAACATATTATATGTTTTTATTAATAAAATATGTAATAAATAATAAAATAAAAAATATATTTTATAATTATTATTAACTCATGAATCATTATTGAATAATTTATATTTGTATTATTATTAAATTTCTGTGTTAAAGGGGGCCTCTGTCTCTTATGGACCTAGGGCCACCAAGTTCCTCACTACGCCACTGAAATCAAGATTTGAACTTAAAATGCTTATAAATAAAAACTGTGACCAAAGATTTTTAATATTTTTCATATGTTATTGTAACAAAATAGTAGGGACCTTGTACTAAATTTTCAAACATTTTTACCCAACAAATATAGTTTTATTGACATTCATGGAAAAAAGACTGATAATATTGGAAACTGAAAATGTTTTAAACAGATCAAAACAAATCAAAATATTTTTGAAATTGTATCGTGTATAGAAAATGCAAATATAAACAACCATTGAAATTGCATGAATATACGTTCATTTGTTTTAAAGTTCCACCCAAAACCGAAATCGAGTTTTTGGAAAACCAATTTTGCGTAAAAATTCCCGTTTTTCCTTAATTTTAAGTTGTTTTACCCGGTGCTTTTGAAAACTATTGAGAATTTTAAAATTTAACCTTCCGAGTATACCAACTAGATTCACATTCCCATCGATAAAGATACCGTTGAAGAAAATCGAAGCAGTTTATAAATATCAATAAAATATTACCATTATTTACCTTAACCATCTACCTAATGAAGTAATAATAATCATTAAAAAACCTAACAAAAATGTGGGTTTTAATGTGTTATCCAATTTTTTTTTCACACACAAAAAAAACATTTATATAATATAATATAATTATAGATGGTTTGAAGATAATGGTACTGTTGAAGTCAAATGTCCGTTTTCCATTAAAGATAATGAAAGTTTGGTACAAGCTCTTCTTGAAAAAAAGGTTAGTTTTATACCTACCTACCTATTTTTGTACTTCGTGGTCACGGGTATTTTATAAAAAAAATATTTTATTCGAATAATAGTATTGTAAATTGTTATATCTACTAAAGTAATAATGTTGCTTTAAGATTACGTATTTAATAAATAAAAACCATGCAGTCAAGTTAAAAGAAAACAGTAATTACTACTAAAGATTTAAGGTCAAATGCCTGTCACACGCGGATTTTATGCAAATTTTTTTTTTATTTCCTCCGAAGTGGAACAAACTTGAAGTTATTAATTACTCGGAAGTATTTTGGAAAGAAAAAATGGAATCAAATTTGAAATTGGAATTGCTTGTAAATAGTAAATTAAAATGTTATTGTATTTTTGGTTTCTATGTATGAATTATTAGTAAAATTCTATTGGTATTTTTTAAGCTTAGCATTTATTATACTTTTCAGATTTTACGAAGAATGTTTACTACCTGAAATTGTTGATTCTCAAATCCCAATACAGAAAACGAATGCAAAAAAGTGATATTATTGACCCCCCCTCACATCAAAGAAAATATTATAAAATATAAAGAAAAAAAAGGAAATTATAAATTATATTATATTTGTTTAACTTACATTAATTTTTTTCATGGTTAAATAACAGGAAATTATTGTTTGTTACCATTTTATTATATTAATATTTATAAATTACAATATAGGGTATATTACAAAATACTAGGTAGGTAGGTATTATATAACTTGATACACTTCATGGCACGTGTAAACAGTAACAGTGTACATGGGCGATATAAGACGTGTCGTCCGAGAGTGCGATACCAAATTCTTTTGGTCTAAAAAATGGGGTTGAACAATCATACAACAATCGTACAGAAGAGCGACATCCACTAACCCGCTTTTTTATTATTCGTGTCTGTCATCACCTTTTGGAGTATGTAGTAAAAATTCTTTGATATTTTACGTCACATCTTTTCTGATACTTTGTAGGAACTGTACCCGGTGCGCCGAGAGAGCGCGAGTCGGCCGCGCATGATGACATAAATTTGTGATCAGTTATATCGGTGCTTTCATCTACAAGAACTGAAAATGGTAAATGTCTTAAATTATTAATGGTTTCTGCGGATTCGACATTTGCAATTACATTTTTTACAATATTAGTACATTTTGTTCGGTTTAATGTCATATTTTTTGCTATTGTTGAATCCGTAAAACACTTCCCAATCACTTCAGTTAAGTGATCACTTAGGTGAAGGGCCAAATTGTGCTCAGCAAAAAATGCAGCTAACCTTATTTCAGCTTCTTTCACTGATTTTTTTTGTTCCGAATTAGACGTCGGACGTTGTAATGCATCTCTGATGTTGACTGAGGTCTTGATTAATTTTACATTTTTAAGCCCTCACAGGGACTTGTTTAGTTTAGCCTATTATTCTGTTGAAATAAATAAATATACAAATACACTAATTTACACAAATACGTAAAAAAAGAAACAATATTTTGTTTTTGAAAGACAATTTTATTGTGTACTCAACAAATGTAATTTTACAATATATTTATTGTAGTTTAAGTAAAACCAAAAGTTTTGTTTCTTTTTAATTATAAACGGCTCAAAGTGGCCTAATAGGGGAAAAAACAACAGACAAGACACAATAAGCAGGGGGGACGGTACGTGATGGCTAGGTGCTTGCATAAAGCAATAAGCCTACTGGTCACCTCTATACGTTCTCGCGGCACATACCACAGTTGGACGAGTGCAGTCGCCAGCGCTTTTGCTTGCGGGTGACGACCATCATGACGGCCACGGAAGCTATGAGACGAGTTGATGGCGAGTGGCTAGTGCGCGATGTTTTGCACATCGACGATGCACAGGTACTGAAGACGACTGATGCGTGACGACGGCGACGGTGACCACTAAGAGAGCAAAGGCAGCTGTTGGTGCTACGGAATCGGCCGGCGACCGGAGACGTGACTCGACCGATTGCCACCGGGCGAAAATGGGAGAGGATCGTCAGACCTCACAGCAAAGCACGCCGCAAAGGTCCTGATCATCTCCGCGTGATTTTCGCCTTGATAACTCGACCGCGTCACTATCAGGTGGCCGATCTGGAGTCGCGCATCGAACTCTAAAACGTTATCCGTTTCTATGAGGCCAGCGATGCTGACATCCTTGTTCCTAGCTCAGCTGTATCGCTCACCCGTTGTGTTTTGCAGTCTTCTTGCCACTCTGCCATCATCGTGGTACCATCAAGGCGGTATCGTTGCCCTCGTCGTGTCATCTTGATGTTCTCGCGTGTCGGCAACCGCGAGCGCTGGCGACGCTGTAAACTGCGATCTCGTCTTTCTGCGGGTGGCCGGTGAACGTACAGGATGACTTCCTGCCGGACACCTTAAAGTTCTCTTTTACGTACCACTTTCTCGTTGCCGCCGTATTGTCTAGCTTGTATTCATCTGTGGGGAGGGGAGTACTACACTGCGGGTGTTATGTTCTTCGGCAACAACCAAACAGGAGCAAGCGCTTTGCGCCCTTCCACGTGGCGGCGAAAACCGCCTTGTCCTATCACTTGAAGTGTTGTTCTTAACTGCGGTGGTTGTTTCCGGTGCGTTCTTCGCGTCCAGCGTAGCTGTGTTCCTTTCTTCTTCAACTCACCCAGACGGAGTGATCCGAGTGTCTTTGAGGGCTCCGGTACTACAGGTACAGCGTCTCCGCTGCCTTCCTCGATCGTATCAGGCATCAACGATCAACCGTATCATGTTCACCAAATAAGCAAATAATGTCGCCTAGTATAGCGTCTTTGTTCTCATCGCCATCGAGTTTTGGTTCTAAATCTTTAACTTCTAGTGTTAGCGGTTCTTCATCCTCCATTGGCATAACCCATGTATCAACTCATTCAACAACATGTATCAGTCGAAAAAAATTTAACAGTCGAAAAAAGATTAACGGTTACATTAAGGTAAACAAATTGTTAAATAATTTTTTTTACAGATTACTAAAGGTGTTACTACATTTATCCGTATTTACCATCGTCCGTTAAATATGAAGATTTATATTAAATAAGTAGCCTTCTATAAAATCAAGTGCTTTGTTGAATTCTAGACAATTCATTAAAGAAACTTCATCTAGTAAAACAACACATTTTTTTGGTGGTAATTCATCGATGAAACTTTATATTTGATCTGTTGCATGTATTCAATTGGGAAACCGGGAGAATAATTAATACTTTGCAACCAACGTCTCATAGTACTTTCACCTAGTAGGGTTATTTTATTCTTACGCATGTACTTATAGGTTGATGGAAATTTATAATATATTGAAAATGCAATTTTTTTTTCTTCGGGTGTCCATGGCTTTCTATTTTTATGTTGTATTTGCATGGTGACTAATGCTTTTGAATTTTGTGATTTAAATTTTGTGCTCTGAATTAAAGTTTGTGTATTATATTTTTGTTTTTTTAGTATTTTTTTGATCTTTTGTTTTTTCAAACGGCTAATAATTGCTCTTTTTCGGTTTATAATTTTTTTTT